TGGAAGTGGAACTTGAGGAAAGTGGCTTAGGCTGATATAAGTGATTTAAAGGGGACTGGAAGAATAGTTTGACTGCATTGTTGCTGATTTTTACCTGCTAGAATGAGTTACAAAGAACGATTGACAGTGCTCCCTTTTTGGCTAGCTTTGCCATTGTTCAAGGTTTGGGGAAGAGAGAAATGGGTTAGATGATTCTAAAAAGTTCATTGGATTCAGCTTTTTAATTTGACTCTAACCAGAAGACTTATCTGCGATGCGGGGGTGGGGGGTGGGGGGGCACAATTAGGGAGATAGTGTAAAGCAGTCATATAAACAATTTAAGTAACACATGGCTTCAGACCCTACATTGCAGACCTACCTGCCAGCCCTCAGCAGTGGGTGATGCCGGTGTCTTTGCCACCGGGTGTTCAAGGCTGAGTCAGTGGGATAAAGGTGGAACTAATGAGTATTTAATATTAAACGTACTCTTCCTGAGGGATGGAGCTCTACTTTCTAAGATGCTGGGTTCGTCTGGGTGATGCCTGCCAACAGGAAGGGGCATTTTTATTAGCTCAAGTAACTGCTTCTCCTCTTGCCTCACTGTGCTTTTTCTTGTTGAAATGCTGAGGTGTGGTGGCCATAGCAGTTCTCCTTCAGAGAAAAGCAAAGGAGCCAGGAAAGGGAGAGGAAAGCAGTGGCAGTGTGTTAGCCAGCTTTCTCTGCTGTAACTTGTACCTGAGACAAGTGAACTTAAAGAGAGGAAAGCTTTATTTGGCTCCCAGTTTTGGAGATTTCAGTCCATGGTCAGTTGGCCCATTGCTTTTGGAACTGTGGTGAGTCAGCACAGCATGGTGGAGCAAAGCTTCCTGCATGACAAGCTAGGGACTGAAGAAAAGAGGAAGAGACCAGGATCCATAGTTTCCTCCAAGCTCATGCCTGCAATGAGCTAGCTTCTTCCCCAAAGCCCCACCTCTTAAAGAGCCCACCACCTCCCAATCATAGCACTCTAGGCTGAAAGCCAAGCTTTCACTGAGTCTTTGGGGAACATTTATCCAAACTGTAGGGAAGTGTGAACTCAGTAGAGGACCCTGTGCCAGATACACAGGCGGTCTTTGCTGTGAGATCTTGATGGTGTAGTAATTCAGTTTTCCATGCTGGTTTGAGCAATTTATTTTCCTTCCCAAAGAGACTTATTCCTGAACGATGTCTTGATTCAGCCAGTCCTTTGCTCAGAAACGTCTTCCTTGCCAGTGGATCAAGCCTAATTGTACCATGTCCCCAGCCCACAGCTTCACAGTGCTCAGCCCCTGGGGTCCTGCGTCCTGTCGGTCTTGTAGTCTCTCTTCCCCAGATGGAGGTCAGCCTGCTCCCTCACCTCTGCTGCTCTTCCTGTTTCCTGTCCACAGTCTTCATTGTTCTCATGGTTGCACTTCTCCCTGTCCCAGCCTCCTGGCTTCTGTTCTGGGGCTTTGCCTCTTATTTCTGCCTTTACTTCTGACTTGGTGTTTATTTTTGAAGATTTCAGTAATAAAATACCCTGTAGCAGTCGTGTCTTGGCTCAGATGCTGTATAAAAGCACCACAGACCAAGCGGCTTAAATAATGGCCGTTCATTTCTCCTGGTGCTGGAGGCTGGAAAGTCCAAGGCCAATGCTGATACCTCTGAAGTTCTGCGTAAGGTTCTTCTGCTGCTTGCCAATAGCTGCTTTCCTGCTACCAGGTCCTCCTGTGGCAGAGATAAGGTGGGGAGAGGGAGGGACAGAGAGGGAGAGAGTGTGCTTCCTGCAAGGACACTAGTCCCATTGCTGAGGCCCCACCCTCTTGACTTCCTCAAACCCAATTTCTACCAAAGGTCCCATCTCCAGACACCAGCATGTGGAAGGTTGTAAGGGACCGGCAAAGCGTCAGAGAAAGAGACCACCCAGAGACCACTCATGCAATTGGCAGAAGGGGATTTATTGATCCAGCATGCTGGGACTCCGTGCCCACTCAAGAAAGGAGAGCAGCCCAGAGCAGGGGTTGAGCAATGCTTAAGTACACTTTTTTGGGGAGGGTGGAGGCTTTGCATACATCAGGACAAATCATCATGAGGCGCGGGAAAATCAAACAACAACTCTTAGACATGATTAGTACATTCATTGGCAGGAACAGGCTGGGCAGGAGTGATTAGTCACTCCTAAGCAGGGTACACATTTAAACTGATTGGTTTTTGGCCCTGGATGCCTACGTGCCAGGCTACACAGGGTCCTAAGTTATTAAACCAGAGGATCAGGAGGAATATTTACTGGGCAGTTCTGGTATTGTCCTAATAGCTACAGGAATTTCAGGTTTTGGGGGTAGCGGAGGAATTTAACAATACCTGGTCCTTCACTTTTTAACTCAGGCCTTGCAGCTTAAAAACTTTACAATGCCCGGTCGTTTACACTTTAACTTCAATTTCTTTTACTCTTACAAGGTTAGGGCTTCAATCATGATCAGCTACGTTTATAGAGTTGACCGGCCAGACCATGCTTCTGGTCATGAATTAGCTAATTTAGTTCTCACCATGACCAGGGGGCACATGACATCAAGATCCCTCTTTCAGATCAGGAAATGGAGGCGCAGAGAGGTTAAGTAACTTGCTCATGGAGGACAGCTCCTAAGTGGAACAGCTGGAGTTTTCTCCCAGCTGTAGTTCTAAATGCCATTAGTATCTATCTTTTTAGATGCTCATTCTCTCAAACTAAGTTCTGGGTCATCTGCCCAGAAGGCTCCTTGCCCTTTGCTCACCGCAGGGAGTTGCTCTGGGAACTGTCTGTTTAGGGCTAAAGACTGCTGTCCGGTGTTGGCAGGTCCAGGGCTTTTCTGGGCCTTGGCCTTGGCTTGACTGGGTGGTTTTGTCCTGATGCCACTCTTCACTGTAATTGCCTGTGAGAGATGTCCAGCTCAGGGATTCCACCCTGGAGTGCTTGTTGCCTGAACCAACTTGGTGTAGTGGGGGAAGCTCACAGACTCAAGGGAAACCAATCTTAAGTTGCTTTCTGCATGCAAATGAGCACTTTAAGTCCTTCTGATACTGATAACTAGAATCAGAGCTGAATCCCATTCCCCAGGGTGAAGATTGAACACCCCAGAAATGCTGATGTAAGAGCAAAGAGTTTTATTTAAAGGATAGAACAGAGAGACAGAGACAGACTCCTCGGCAGAGGAGGGAGTCCAAATCTGGTGCCCGAGGGGGTGGGGGTGTACTGCCCCTTTTATAGATTTTAAGTTTCCCTTCTTATGCCTTCTCCTCCTCTTATCTTGCCTACCTGACTAGTGACCAAAAGGTGGGTCAAAAGGTACAGTGATCCAAGGGCTGGAAGAAGCTGCCCCAGGGTACAGGCAGCAAGGGAGGGGCCCAGGGGGCATTCATTAACAACCCCTTGCAGGGAGGAACAATTCCCAGGAGTCAGGTAACCTTGGTAACAGGTTGGAGAAGGGGAAAGTGTCCTAAAGGTATTAGCATTTCCTTTTAAACCAGGCCCCAAGTTCTGGACTGACTTAGTCATTCCTTACCTATCCTGACTTTTGTTTGCACCCTCCTTTCCTTCCTTCTTGTCTCCCTCCCTCACTCAATCACTCCTTCCCTTCCTCCCTCCTTCTTTTCTCTCCCTCCTACAGTTTTCTTAAGCAATATTTTTGTGACTTGAGTGTTTGATGGGATGAGTGAAGGTGACCTGTGCATCATGCTCCTGCTCTGCTAAATCCTGGCACTCTGCTTGCTCATGCCTCCCCGATTTCAAGGGAGGACAAGGCTCTTCCTGGGGTGGACATCTAGGGATGTGCTGATGTTACCTGGGATGGGTTCCCCCTGCATCGAGGTTTAGCTTGGATCAGGTCTTCATTCCTAGTAAAGGCAACATACTGAGTCAAGAAAGCTGGAGTCCATTGCTGCCAAAGTTTGTTTATTGTGCTTCTTTCATGTGGCTTCCAACAGCATCCATTGGGGGAGGTGGATGTTTAGCACTTCATATTTGGAGTGCTCTATTTCTACCTGATTTGATGAAAAAGAAGTGTTTTGGAAGACCATTGCAAAACTTGCAGAGTCAGGGGGAAGTGTAATCGTTTGACCTTCTTGGGAGAGGACCGGTGACACCTGTGGTATTTTGAGGTGGCCCCTCAGGAACCTCTCTGAATGCACTCTTGTAGAAATGACTGCTTCTGGTTTTTGTTCAGTGATCTGCTCAGGATGTCTACCCTTGTGAGGGAGTCAGAGTTGCTGCGAGCTGAAGCTGGGTGATTGGCAGTCCACCAAAGCTATGTGAAATGGGTGAGGAGCGGTGGCACAGGAAAAGGGGGCCAATGTTGCCAAACAAGGGGAGTGGGCAAGGACAGCAGATACCTCCGCTCTGCAAGGTTCTTCCCAAAGCAGGCTGGGTTTAAATGACAGCTTTGCCTCTGACAGCAAGTGATTTGAATGCTGCCTGAGTTCCAGTGCTAAGTTATTCCTCTAGAAGGAAAAAATCTTAGCAGTTTAAATGCTTTAACAAATGTTTTCATTCATTTGTTGTTTGTGAAAACTTGATGCTTCGTGATTACATTGAAACACTTATTTAGCTGTTTTCAAATATGCACAAAAACATAATAACATGAATCCTATGTCACCACTGCCCAATTTTAACAATGTCATTGGCCACATTATTACAAGGTGCTTTTACAACTGAATGTATAAAAATCACAGATTTAACATGTCTGCAAACCTGCTTTAGTATATCTAAGGGGTCATCAGTCTTATACCAAAAAACAGACTGCAATACAAATAATGCCTTACTTACCTGGAAATTGAATTTTATTTTTGTCTACAAGGCTTGTTAGTGGCTATAACTAACAAGGAACTTGCCAGTTCCTTAGCAAGTCTCTTTTCAGATCACCTCTGCCCAATCTGTCTCCTGGGCCTCAAAGTCTTTAGGGGTGAAGCAGAGGTATCTCCGATTGTAGGGTCTGGACACCAGTGTGCTGGGCATTGTATGAGAGCTCACCCTGCTCTGATCTCTTTTGCAGTTGAAAGATGCATGAGTGTCATGCAGTCCGGGACTCAGATGATCAAGCTGAAGCGTGGGACCAAAGGGCTTGTCCGGCTCTTTTACCTGGATGAGCACCGGACCCGCCTCCGGTGGCGACCCTCTAGGAAGAGCGAGAGGGCAAAAAGTAAAAGCAGCCTTTGATTTCTTTGCTTGGATGGACACGGTAACCCTGGGCAATGTGGGCTGGACCCTGTGGGAGCTTTGCATTGGTGGAACTTCTAAAGTTTTGCAAGTTTTTGGATATCTTGGTTATGGATATTGAGTCCATAAAGGATGACTCTGTTTGGGGAATTTGAATCCATAAAAGTTCATCCATGAATATTGTAAATGCTAACATTTCCCTTGTGTTGAGGTATGATGTGTGTGTGTGTTTTAAGTACACTGTAAGATTTTTATAGCTGCAGACCTTTATTTTCCTATAAAAGGGAAGGGATGTCATAAATCCAGTGAGCTTTAAAGTGTATTGCTGTATTCTGAGCACAGTAAACTGATTAATGAATTAACAGCACTGTTTTTGTTGTTGTTGTTTTTTTTTGGTACTAGGGATTGAACTCCAGGGTCCTCAACCACTGAACCACATCTCCAGCCCTTTTTTATGTTTTATTTAGAAACAGGGTCTCCCCGAGTTGCTTAGGGCTTTGCTAAGTTGCCGAGGCTGACTTTGAACTTACATTCCTCCTGCCTCAGCCTCCTGAGCTGCTGGGATTACAGGCGTGCACCACCATGCCCGACTAACAGCACTGTTTTATGGTATTAAGTAAAATTGTTTGGATCTGACTCCTAGTTAAAGCTTCTCTCTCCCACACTGTGTGAGTCAGTGTTTCTCCAGAGAGACATAATGAATAGGATGGGTGGGTGGGTGGGTGGATGGGTGGGTGGGTGAAAGGAAGGAAGGATGGATGGATGAATGGATGGACAAGTAGGTGGATGATTATTAGGGGATTTGTCTCACCTTCTTATGGAGGCTGAGAAATGACACAATATGCTATCTGCAGGCTAGAGAACTAGAAATCTAATGGCATGGCTCAGATTGTCCCATGCCATGAGCCTGGACCCTGATGCAAGACCCAGCATCTGAAGGCCTGAGGCCCTGAAGCTCTGATGTCTGAACAGGAGAGAATTGGGTATCCCGGCTCTAGAAGAGAGGGAGAGAATGTGCATTTCTTATGCCTTTCTGTTCCCTCACTGATTGGGTGTTGCCCTCTCATTTTGGGAGAGACTGACTCTTCCTTTTTCAGACCATTGATTCAAATACCACTTCCTTCCATGAAACCTCTTACAAATACACCAGAGATAATGCTCTATCAGCTTCCTGGAGACCCTCATGGCCAGGCAGACTGGCATCTAAGTGAACTACTGTATACCACTCCTGTCTTAGCAACAAGTCCTGTTGAGTCCTGTGGCATGCCTCTCTCTCATCGGCCCTCCTTCCTGTTTCCATGGCAACTCCTGGGTCCAGAGCCTGTTTGCCTTTCGAGGTGCCAATTGCCCTGTCTCCTAACCAGTCTCCACTAGGCTGGCTTCCTCTGTGTTTGTCAGTAATAAGATCTCGTCTAAATCATGCTCCCTTGATAAACAGGTTTATCACCCCACCTATTGTGAAGCCCAGAGATGGACAGGACTGGGCGGCGGGCACTGGTCTCTCTCTCTCTCTCTCCATCAAGGCAGTAGCAGTGTGGCCTCAGCTGTCCCAGGCCTTACGACCTGATGTGACTGTGAAGAGGCAGAAGGGACCTTCTCTTCTGGCCTCTTGAGGGAAAGAGAACTCTTTCCAGACCCTTCCCTCAAAACAGACTGAGCGACTGCACATGTCTGCTCAGGAAGAACTGGCTGGCATGCCCTCACCTAAACCCCCCCAGGAAGTAGAAATGGGGCCCCAGTGGCTTTGACCTGCCAGGACTTCCCTGGGGCTGAGCCAAGGCTCCTTTCCCTGTGAGTCACTTGGGGTTGAGTGGATACCAGAGTTAAATGGGATCCTGCTGCTCACCCAGAGCGAGGAGTTGATGGTGCACATGGGCAGGTGGTAGGATATGCCTCGCTTCTGGTTTCTGCTTAAAAATAAAGAAGCAAGCCAAAAATAAACAAACAACAACAAAGAATTCTGGAGTTATCCTGGCCACTGCTTCTCTGATCCAAGCCTTCAGTGCTTTAGGGCCATTGAATTCCTGAATAGCGGAATCTCCAAGACCTAGCCTTTGACTTCTTTCCAACTTTATCTCCACTTATCCTCCCTCCTGAGCTCTCCAGTTCAGCATGAATGGCCTGCCCAGCGTTCCTGGGGTGGGTCTGAGTTCTGTGTTCTCCTGCCCCTTCCTCTGGGGTGCCACTTCTCCACCCCCTCCTCTACCCCCACCACCCTGGGTTCTTTCTACCAATGCCAAGCATTCCTAGCTTGCTACTTAGTTGCCAGTAAGTTTCTTTGCTTTTTATTTTCTATCCTCTCACACATTTTTCAAAACAGCAACCAGTTCTGGGTCTTCCTCTGCTTTCTGTCCATAACTAGGTAAACTGTAGCCTTGGCATATCATCAGCCTCCTTTTCCACCAGCCTTCTTGCCCTGTGAGTAGATTGATCTTTCTACTGTAAGTTTCAATTCATCCTGAGTCGCTGCTCAGGGAGGACATTGTCAAGAATTCTCAGAAGTTGGGTGCAGTAGCACACACCTATAATCCCAGTGACTCAGGAGGTGAGGCAGGAGGATCATGAGTTCAAAGCTATCCTCAGCAACTTAGTGAGGCCCTAAGAAGCTCAGGGAGACCCTGTGCCTAAATAAAATACAAAACAGCACTGGGGATGTGGCTTTGTGCTGCTCAGTGGGTAAGTCCTCCTGGGTTCAATCCCTGGTACCCCCCCCAAAAAAATCTCAGAAAAGTGTTACTTGAAGAAGTTTCCCTACAGAAGACATCAGAGCCAGCGTTCAGTATCTGAACTAAAAACCACAAATTGCAGGCAGTGAAGTTTTTTTGTGCTTATTTTTTTTTATCTCTAAAATGATTTTGCTGTTCTTATTTCTCAATTGTTTCAGTAACTGACTTCACCTGCTATGTGATGGTGTGTCTTGTTTCCCTCCAGTCCTTATCGATTCCATTTACAAAGTCACTGAGGGCCGCCAGTCTGAAATATTCCACCGGCAGGCGGAGGGGGGCTTCGATCCCAGCTGCTGCTTCACCATCTACCATGGCAACCACATGGAGTCCCTGGATCTTGTCACCTCCAATCCCGAGGAGGCCCGCACCTGGATCACGGGCCTCAAGTACCTGATGGCTGGCATCAGTGATGAGGATTCTCTTGCCAAGAGGCAGAGGACCCACGACCAATATCCTCCTAGAACTGCACCTGTTGTTGTGATCGGGTGGACGAATGGGTCTCATGGTGTCATCTCCATGGTGCATATCCCTGCTTTGAACCTGTCCACCCACTCCTCCCTCCCAGGGCTTCATTTCTGAGTTTTGTGCATGTGTGTCTGGGTTGTCTGGTTGACTTGGCTTTGTTCCTTCCAGGCCGTGAGGCTTGAAGCCCCTCTCTTTTCTTTCCCCCTGCACCCTTCTCTCCCCTCCTCACCCTCCGCCAAGAAAATGCACATGTAAAGCCACAAAGACTTGGCTCTAGGGGCTCGGGCAGAATTCTCTGAAAGAGACTGAAGTTGGCTTCACAGTCTGAGAATGAAATATTGCCTCTAATGAAATATTATTGCCTGTTTTGAGTGTTGGTTACATGTAACTTGTAGGTTGATTTGGATTAGAGAAAATCTTGTTTGGTCATCAAGTTGGTTTAATTTAACAGATATTTTTGAGTTCCAATATATAGCAGGCATTAAGCTTCTTTGACTTTTTTCTCTTTTTAACTTTCAGTTTGGAAACTGAACTGATTGATTCTCAGGAGGAAGTTACTTGTCCTTCCTCTTTTCTTCCCCCTTCCCTCCTCAGTGCTGGGGATTGAGTCCAGGGCCTCACACAAAAGAAGGCAAATACTCTTATCACTGAGTCACACCGCAGCCTGGAAGTTATTTTCTACTTTCCAACACTTATCCTTTCAACACTGCTTGAGAAACAAGAACACGTCTAATTCTCCATGAACCTGGTCTTCTGAAGGCAGCTCCCCTCCTGGCTGGGGGCTGGGCATGTGGCATGGCCTCTCTGGCCTCACATTCCTGTCTGTAAAGGGACAAGTGGATCAGTTGGCCTCTTTGGCTCCCTTTTCAGCCCTTTTGCCTTAGAAGATGTGGCTACCCCTGAGGTCACAGGCGTCTGGCTTCATTTTCCCAGGCATGGTGAGAGCTTGGTGCTGCTCAGGCCTGGCTCAAGGTGTTGCTGAGCAGACCCAAGGAGGGGCCCCAGCTGTGAAGGCCCAAGTGGCTGAGCACTGAGCCATCGGTGTTCACGGTGTACAGTAGATGCAGGTGGGATCACAGTGCATGAAGTGCAAAGGTAGGACTCACTTTCTGGGCTTCCGCCTGGCTGTTTAAGCCTTTACCTTTTAACATTTGGTACAAAAACAAATGAGTGAAAACAGAATCTGCAGGGCTGCCGGAGGGTGCAGGCAGCACAGGCTTCGAGGACGGGGCTGGACGTGATCAAGGGCACATGTTTTCTCCCAAGTGAGGGGTCTTCGATGGTGCCCTCCCAGGTCCTGTGCCCTCAGCATGTGGGCTTGGCCAGCTCTGGTTGAAGGAGCTGCTGCTGCTTCAGCAGCAAGCACAGCCCTGTCCAGGAAGCAAAGGTGCTTCTCACACCTCTTTTTTTTTTTTTAAATTTTTATTCTAATTTGTTACATATGACAGTAGAATGCATTACAATTCACATTACACACAGCACGATTTTTCTTATCTCTGGTTGTACACAAAGTATATTCACACCATTTGTGTCTTCATGCATGTACTTGGGGAAATGATGTCCATCTCATTCCACCATCTTTCCTACCCACTGCCTCCTCTCTTCCCCTCCCACCCCTCTGCCCTATCTTGAGTTCTTCTATTCCTCCCATGTGCCCCCTCCCTACCCCACTATGAATCATCCTCCTTATGTCAGAGAAAGCATTTGGTTTTGGGGATTGGCTAACTTTACTTAGCATTGTGTTCTCCAACTCCATCCATCTGTCAATATTTGTCATGAGACATCAAATCTGAGAATCTAAAAACTCAAATCATTTAAAACCATGATAAACTCTACCACGGGTTGGCCTGTTCCCATGATATAGAACTGTTGTTTCAAAGCAAAACAAATGAGTGACCATTGCTTCGCTGTGTGAAGCCCTGCTAGACTTCATGGAACGCGAGGAATCTGCTGCTGAGCTCAGTCTGCTGTGATCTGTTCTTTGGGTTGAAATTCTTTAAGGACACCCAGCCTCAGCAGACGCCACCTTGATGACCAGGAGTCCTGAGGACGGCTGAGTTGAGGTGGGATCCACCCGTCCCCCTCAGTTCCCAGCCACATGAAGCCATAGGGCTCTTGGATGCCTGAGCACAGCTGGGGTTCTTCTGCAAGGAATAGGGAAGCCACAGTTCTGAGGCCATCAAGGGCACATCTGCAGAGCCTTTGGTCACTTAGAGAAGTCTAGGTCCTGACCTTTGCAATGACTGTGCAGGATGGGCCTCTTCTCACTGTGTGCTGGGTGGTGATTCTTAAGATTGAAAACTGTCCAACAGCAAGCACAGCCAGATGTCATAAGGAACAATGTCATGAGAGACTTGGAGGCAGTTGATGTGTCTGTGAAGGGTGAAAAAGAGGAAAGAAGAAATTAATGGGTAGAAACTATTGTTCAGTAATGAAACTGTTGTTCTCGAAACAGGGAAAGTTATCTTGAGACAGGGAGCCATTTTTGTTCAGACTTGTCCAAGTTTGATAAGATTTTAGTATTTTTTTAAAAAAATTTTTAATTGTAGATGGGCACAATACCTTTATTTAATTTATTTATTTTTATGTGGTGCTGAGGATCAAACCCAATGCCTTACACATGACAGGCAAGTGCTCTGCCACTGAGCCACAAGCCCAGCCCCAGATTTTGATATCTTAATGATGGAATGATGTCCTCCATTAGACAGTCTACACTAATTGAGGAGGAGAGATTCAGGATGTTTATGGTCAGACTTCCCATAGGACTAGAATGTTCACCAGTGAATGAATAACCTGAGTGATGGGCGCAGATGGCTGACGGGGAAGCCCCGTGCATCTACAGCAGGAAGCGGTGGTTTCTGCAGTCGCCACACTGTGTGGAGCCTGCATGGTGCTCAGGTCTGTCGGAAGTGATGCAGCATCAGGGTGGGGGCTCAACCCCAGGGCTGTGCTGTGGGTCCAGCCCTGCTCTGCCATGTGCTGTGGAGTCTGGGTGACTTGCCCCTGTGACGTGTCACAGAGCTGACCCGGCACAAGCATGTGGAGATGGAACCAACTGGTGTAAACCACGTCCTCAGAACACTGCCCGGCACACAGTAGGCACTTTATAGATGAAGTCATTATGCTGGAGAGGTCAGAAGTAGCAATTTTTTGCTTTCCTACTCAGATAGGAAGTCCTAGCTGTCAGCCTCCCCACTGACGGAGGTGACTGTGGTGTGGCGTCTAGCCTTGGCGCTTCCCGAGGGAGGCCCTTCTTCTTCATGTTTCCCCACCGTGTCCCCTGATGCCAGGATGGAGGTCCTGAGCCTAGAAGGCTTCAGGCATCCTGAAGTCTAATGGAGCTTTATTCTTTTCCCTCAAACTACAGGGCAATTTTGACCCATTACCTTTGTGTGTGTGGGGGGTGGGGTGGGGGGGACACTGGGGACAGAACCCTGGGCTTCACACATGCCAGGCCTGGGGCAATGCCACACACTGTACCAGAGCCACATCCTTGGCACTTATTTTTGTTTGTTTGTTTGTTTCAAGACAGAGTGTCACTAGGTTGTGGAGGCTGGCCTTGAACTTGAGATCCTCCTACCTCTGTCGGTTGAGTAGCTGGGACTGTAGGTGTGCGCCACGGCGCCTGGTCCATCACCTATTTTGGAGGGCTTCTAAGTTAAGAATGGGTCTTAAATGGTTGAACAGTAGCAAAAGAAGAAGAGAATTTTGTGAAATGTAAAATGGTTTAAAATTCACACTTCAATGTCTATAAATAGTTTTATTGGAACCCAGCTGTGCACATTCACATATGTACTGTTTATAGGACTGTTTTCACGGGACAGTGGCTGAGCACAGCATTTGTAACCAGGATCAAATGGTCTATAAAGACTTATGGTTGGGCCCTGGAGAGGAGCAGCCACCCACCTGGCCTAATGGGGCCCTTGGCTCTGCACAGTCTCCTCCGGCTTCTTTCTGGGAAACATAATCCATTCCATCCAGCTCTACCCCCGGGTTTCTCTGCAGAATGACTGTTCCTCCTCTTGCAGTGGTTGAGTGCTTGACTGAATTGTTGCTCCAGGGTTTTCTGGGCGCTCGGGGTTTCCTAGGAGATACGGAGATACTAGGAGATACTACTAGGAGATACGGAGCACCACACCTGCAGTTGCATTCAGTGTGACTGTCACTAGAAAAGTGGATTTTCCTTCCATAGAATTGTAGAGTTGAAGGGATCTGGAGGTCATCCAGCTGTGCTCCTGACATTGCAGATGGAGGGACAGAGGCTCCACGGGTCAGCTTGGGAACAGCACAAGGGCATGTTTCTTGGTCTGAGTCCACTCTCTTTGCCGTATCAGCCCAGGTCTCCTCAGCTAGTGGCCAAGGCCAGACATGGCAAGTGCTGAGTCCTGTGCTCAGGATTTGCAGAGCCTGTGCTCAGGGTGTGCCATCTCTGCCTTCTTCTGGAGAAGTCTTAGAGAAATTTTGATAAAGAATTTGAGAATTAAAGGATGAAAATACTGGGTCATAGGACCCAGTAAGTGAGTTCTTTGTGCTCCGGCTGAATGTTGTGGGGCCAGAGACATATCATGCCTACCATGAAGAGAAGTGGAGCTCTCAGAGCGGACCCTGTGCACAGAGAAACGAGTTCGGCACTTGCTAGCCATTGACCCTGACCGCTCTCCCTTTAGGTTCTTGGCTACTCTCCTCTTGACTCAGTTGATGACCCCCCTGAACCAGGCAAGGACAAACCAAATCTGAAAAGACTGGGCTCCTACATCTACTTAAAAATGGTGTAAAGGGAGCCCAGCCTGAAACATTTCCCCAAAGCTCTAGAAGGAAGGTGATGGGGCTTCTGTTCTCTCTTTCTGTGGCTCAGTTTCCGAAGCCCTGATTTGAATCATTTAAGAAACGTAGGTGTGGGGCTGGGGATGTGGCTCAAGTGGTAGCGCGCTCGCCTGGCATGCGTGCGGCCCGGGTTCGATCCTCAGCACCACATACCAACAAAGATGTTGTGTCCGCCGAGAACTAAAAAATAAATATTAAAAATTCAAAAAAAAAAAAAAAAAAAAAAAAAAGAAACGTAGGTGTGCTGCTTACGAGTTGTGCCGAGTTAATGCTGTGGGTCAAAATGGAAATCTGTCCGTCGACGTCACCGCTTGATGTCGGATTGTCCAGCCGCCTGCTGTTCCTTGATGCCTGCCCTCGCTCTGGTCCTCTGGTTCCTCTCCACTGCCTTCATTCTTTTCTTTTCATCACCTTTCACACTCTGAAGCTTGGCTTGGTATTCTCAGCACACACACCACCCTGCTGTCTGTAACAGGCTCTCCGACAACTGTGAGGCATCTGTGTTTAAACCCCCTGCTAGAAGTTAACTGGAAGTGGTCATTTTACCATTTGTTTTGCTTTCCCACTATGGAAAGCCATCCAAGGCTCATCCCAGGGAGGCTCTGGTCAAATCTCAGCTCCTATGATAGAATCCTGTCTGTCTAAACTCAGCTGCGTTTCTTCCTCCACCGGGTCTCACGCCTGAGCGTGGAGGATAGACTTTGTGCCAGGGCTGGTGTAGGACTGGGACTGAGAAGAGAGCTGAAATCTGGTACCAGCAGTGTTGTGAAGGTAGTGAGGGTGGATGAAGGGCACAGGAGAAGGCCAGGCCCATGTTTGCTATGTGGGGGTGCATGGTGGAGGGGTCCCTGCCCAGCATATGGAGCCTTCACACTGGTTGTCCCCATTGTGGCCATCTCTATGCCTCTTGTGCGGAGAACTCCATCCAGCTCCAGCCTGTGTGCTAATAAGGACACAAGGTCTGTGCCCTAAGCCAGGTGGCATCACCAAGGAAAACTGGCCATGCAATGAGAGAGACATGATGATTAAAGCTGTGGAAATATTTTGAGTTTATGGCATTTACTTAAGGAAATGTGAATGGAATGCTAGAGCAGAATTAAAACAAGAATGTAGTTTTTTCTCTTACAATTGATGAAATATCGTGTTTTTGCAAGAAAAGTTTTAATATTTAATTTGGATGAGATTAGATGACAGAAGGTCTTGGAATCATCCAATTTGACTCTCCTGCTGCTGTGGGGGTTGGTCATCTGTTGGTGCTGGGAGTATCTCCGTCTGCAGGGTCCCTCAGGTATCTCTCCTCCAGGTCTTTTCCACATTACTGATGATTGTCCTCTTGAGTATCTGTGACAGCAGGTCGTTTGCATTTTTTGTTTTCTTTATGGTACTGGGGGTTGAGTCAGAGATCTCCACCATGGAGACACATCCCAAGCCCTTTCATTGAGACCTGGTCGTGCTAAGCCGCTGACAGAGCAGTTTCTATTTTGAGGCGAACTTGAGTGTTTTCTTTGACCTTGCTGCACATGGGTGAAGCAGACCTTCGAGGAGGCTGATAAGAACGGAGATGGCCTGTTGAACATCGAGGAGATACACCAGCTGATGCACAAGCTGAACGTCAACCTGCCCCGAAGGAAGGTCCGGCAGATGTTTCAGGTACGATGTGGCCACTCGCTGGGCTTACCCATGTACCCATGTACTAGGGTTCATCAAAGGGCCATTTGGTTGGAAGCAAATACAGCTTGGTCTGGGCTATCTTGTTCTTTTTTGCTTCATCAAAGAAAAAGAGCGTCGTGCACTTAATACACACTCCCAGTTTGATTCTGCAGGTGCTTTTTCATTGCTGCTGTTTTTAGGGAGTAATTAGAAGTGCTCTTCCTGACTCTAATGAAGTGCCCTCCATCAAATCCCTTGGGAGGACAGGGCTGCCTCCTCAGCCTCCCTCTCAGGGATGCTGTGAGGATGAGGATGACAGCAAAGACCAAGTACTGAGAGCACTTGTCCGAGCCCTGCAGAGCTCTCTGTCTGTTCCCATGAAGTCTGGCAGTGCTGAGCTCCTACCCTCTAGTGTGCATCCATGTTAAGAGACATGTGGCCCTGTTGATGAGCCACCGAGGAAGTCCTTGAAGCATCCTGCTGGGGTGTGGTCCTCAGTCTAAGGGCAGAAGCCAGCTCTGTTAACTTTAAGTCAGTAAAAGACAATGCTACGCTATGAGAAATTAACTAGAATATTAATTTCCAAAGGGCCTCATTGCAGATAAGTCATATACAATAGCCAAGTTTTGCAATGACTGTCCATTTCAAGTGAACAGGAAGGTAATATATTGTCCAAAAAGAAGGGAAATGCGGTGTCTCCTCTCTCTCTCCTTCCTTTTAATTTGTGGCACTGTAGATTAAACCGAGGGCTAAGGTTTTAATATATAGTACATTTATTCACTTCTGTATGTTTCATGTCCTATTTGTAAAAATATTCTATTGCTTCTGTGGGGGATTTTGTCTTGCTTTGTTTATAGCTTTCTTTGTTGATTTATAAGTTTACTGTGGTTAGAAATGAGTTTGTAGCCATGTGTGGTGGCACATGCCTGTAATTCTAGCAGCTCAGGAGGCTGAGGCAGGAGGATCACAAGTTCAAAGCTAGCTTCAGCAAGTTAGTGAGGCCCTAAGCAACTCAGCAAGACCCTGTCTCTAAATAAAATTTTTAAAAGGGCTGGGGATGTGGCTTAATGGTTGAGTACCCCTGGGTTCAGCTTATATAAGGTTGATTCTTAACTGGTGAAGCGCTCTTGGTGGCCTGCTGGGAGTCAGGCTTGAGGGAGCTCCAAGGGTGCTTGGAGAGAACATGTCACCCCATGGCGTGAGTGTGGGTCCTGGAGCACTGGTGCTGTCTTCCTGCGCTGAAGTTGCACCCTGAAGCTCTCACTCGGCCCCTTGTTCTGCTCCCTTTCCAGGAAGCCGACACGGATGAGAACCAGGGAACGCTGACCTTCGAGGAGTTCTGTGTTTTCTACCGAATGATGTCACTGAGACGAGACCTTTATTTGTTGCTCCTGAGCCACAGTGATAAGAAAGACCACCTGACCGTGGAGGAACTGGCCCAGTTTTTGAAGGTGGAGCAAAAGGTATCCATCAGCTGCTGATCAAATGTCCATTTAAAGATGATTATGAGACACGTGGCTCTCACCTGGAGCTGGGTTTCGGTGTGTTTTAAGTCTAGCATAGAGGGGGTAAATGTCACCAGCCCACAGAAATCGCATGGAAGAATCATTTCACACATTCTAGTAGGCTTTAAGAGAGGAAGTGATAAATTGAACACTGGGTTAGACGATTTTTAACTTAAGCATACTGAGTAAGGGTATGCGTATTTTTCTACAAAGAAATGAATGTTAATTAAACATTCCATTGTTTTAGATTTAATGGAAATGAAAAATCCATAGCATAATTTATATTTTATATATTTATGTTAGTATACATTTGTATTAATAACGTAAATTTATATTTATACTAATATAGCTAAGCCTGAATATGAATTATTAGCTATTGAACTAGGGATGCAGTTCTTAGCTAGCATTATAATAGGTCATTGATAATTTAAACATTTGATCATGTTTAAAGGATAGTAAATTGGGTCCTGGTTGGCAAAGGGAATTCCTAAACATTTAATTTGGAATGTTTTAATTCCATGCTATATAGGCTGAATTACGGTCCACACAGCTAGTCTTTTCACAGTGCTGTTTTTAATATATCCTCAAACTCCATTTGCTTCTTATTAAGCATAGGAATCAATGAATATTTTGTTAAAGGGTCTTGACATTTTACATTATTAGCCTTTTGGGGGGAGGTTTTGGGTTTACTGCAGTTGATGAGATTTACTTTTAATTTTCTTTAGATTTATGGGCTTGTAGTCTTAGTATAAGAGCTTCTTATCTCCTTTATTGGTTTGCAGTCACAGGCATGTGACTCTGTTGGAATGGTAATGTTGTTGAGTAATCTGGATCACACTGGGTAACTGGTGGAAGGGACTCTTCTAAGCACCTGCACAAATAAGCCCCCAGCCTGTGCTGGGGCTCCCCTTTCTTTAAGGGACAACTTGATTGAGATCCGGTTCTCATACTGTAGTGTTTCCCTATGAAATGCATGGTTCAGTGGTTGTTCCTATGTTCACAGAATTCAGTGTTTTTAGTGTTGCAGGAGAAATCTCAGCAGCAGCCCCTGCTTGTTCCTCTCTTCTCCCAGACCTTGGCAACGCGTAGTACTTCCTATCTCACTGAGGTGCCCATTCTGGGCAGCTTGTGAGCAGGGTCTCACAGAACATATGGCCTTTGGGCTGGCTTCTTTCATTCAACATAATGTTTTCAAGGTTCCTCTTGAAAATGCAAATCCACACCAAAACTTGTGCAGCCCAGAAACAGAACCCACATGTCAGCTGATGGGGGGTAAGCAAGGGTATAGCCTCCACATGGTGGTCAGCCATCAGAAGTAAGGGGTGGGGCACTGTCACCTATGGGTGCGTGGGTCTATATGTGCATAGGCTTTTAGTTCTCTTGGTTGTAGGCCCAGTGCTGGCCCTGGGGGACTTGGTTTCAGTACTTCTGGGTGTTGAAGGAATTTCTTGGGAACCAGAGCACGGTTGTACCATGGCACCTCAGTGACTAGAACCTTGGCTCAGTCTTCTCAGACTGGAGATCACTTGTCACTGGCTCCAAGAAGCACAGCCAACCAAGGGTGCACCTGGTCCTTTCCATGAGTTCCTTGCTTTGAGGGCCAAGGATGGTTGGGTTGCTTAGAAGTCAAGCGCGAGTGGGTGTTTGCTTAGTAACCTGCAGGTTAATCCTCACCCTATCTGAGCACTTATGTGTATCCTAGGCATTGTGCTCAGTTGTGGGAGTGGGCCCATCCTACACTCAGAGCTCAAAAGAAAGACCACATTTTTTGATATTTTACAATTTTGAGAGTCTATCATAAGAGGAAAGAAAATGCTAAGAAGTAAAACCACATATTTCTTAAGATTTGCTGGGTTTTCCCTTTTTGAGTCAAAATAAAACCTATAATTTAATTGATAATAATTATAAAATTTTAATAATTATTATGCAATGTTTTGGTTTTGGACATTTTTGTTTTTAAAAAGTACCTTTGTTGAGATACTGAAAATATTAATTAGTTACACATTGTTAATATGCATGAAGTCATGCTTGTTTAATTTTGGTATTAAATTGAATTAAATTGAGGTTTTGAAGTGATTTCCATCCCAGGGTCCTTCAGCTCTTAACATTCTTTAATTTTCTCCTTCTTAACCCAGAAGATTATCAGTCATACTTGCCAGAGGCAAACCTATCAAAATTCATATCCTGACCTGCAGGTTTAGCTTCTAGATCCCTAAGTGGCTAAAAGGTCTCACCGATTCAGACTCTGCTCTGGCTGAGGTGGATAAGCACCTTTGTGGTAGTTCAGTGCAGAATTTTGAATTATTTCTATGTGTAGAGTAATCCGGTGATCAAATTCTCCAACTTTTTGCTTTAGCAAGAATGAAAAAAAGCAGGAAAAAAAACCCCCCACATATGGCCCTCTGTATTGTTAACCAGCGAGATGCAGGGTCAGGTCTTCTCATGGTGTTGGGATGTATCTCCATTAATGCTTCATGAACACAAAATATTTGTTTCATTTTATAATGAAGAAAGCAGTGAATGAATCATAAGCTACTAAGCAAATCATTTTTGGTGCTAATGTGGCCGCAGAATGGCAACTTGGAGTTGGCTTGATTGGCCTTTCTTTGGATGGCAGGGCTGAGTATTTTTCTCTGTGTATATTTTTAAAACATATTTTTTTGGACTTTATTTGAAAGACCATTTATAATACAGAAAATGTGTGTGCATTCTGTCCTGTTTTTGTGGTGTGTGGGTGTGTGTGTTGTATGTGTGTGTGTGTATGTTAGAGTGAGAGAGCCGGTGGGGTTACTGACAAGGAACCAGCAGGGACAGACCGATGCTGACCACTTTGTCACAGGGTTCTGTTCTGTAAGTGCTTTCAAGAACCAGCCACTAGCACAGCAGTGTTAGCTCTGACTGGAGAGATGGTTGTACCCAAGTAGGAAGTAGTTTTAAAGCTGTTCTTGACATCCTCAGTCCCCAAAGGTAAATGCATTAAACATGTTTTCTGAGACTGTGTTTCTTTGTTCCCTTTATCAGTGGTGCTAATCACCTCTGTTCAAGCAGGTTAACATTTGCTTTGATGTGAATGGGTTTTTTATTATTATTACTGGACTGTGTGTTAGAATTGGACACACAGCTGTGCCTACTCTGTGACTTGCTGGCAGAACCTCTTTCTTGATTGGTGTCATAAAATGCCCTGTTAATGATACTGCCTTTGCTCAATGGGTGTGAGTATTAAAGAGATGTAGATGGAAAGCCTTGATGTGTTGCCTGTTGGATCCACTGCTCAACAAATGGACGTTTGACTTAATAGCACATGTCCAGCCACTTCCAAGGGGCCACTTGGGGTTTCGAGGGGCAGGTAGCCCTACACACATCTGCTGTAAGTCACACAGGGTAGGAAAATTGTCTTCACATCTCACCCCTCACGTGGTGGGTTCATGGGCTGAGTCTGTACAACAAAAGACAGGTCAACAGAGAAAAGTGTACACATTAATAAGTTTACATGGCACGGGGAGCTTCATAAGGAAACGAAGGCCCGAGGAGACAGGGGACCTGTGTGCTTTTATGGTAGGTGTGAGGAAGCATGGGCAATGTTGGAGAAGCTGACCACAAAGGACAGAGGGTCTGATCTTCTGGGTGGTGCTGGCAGGTTCCCCTTGGTGTCTCTGTGTCTTGGCTCTAGGTAGAGGAAGGGCCTTTCTCCAGCAAGGGTCCCTGGATGAGCTCCAGGGGAGTCAAAGGCCAATTACACAATACAGCATAATTATTAGGGGAGGGAGCTGGGGAGGCCAGAGAGACAGCACAGCAAGAGGCTGTATATTGGCAGCATTTCTTGGACCCCATCTCTTCTACACATGACTGGGATATTTTTCTTCTAAATTACTTCTCCTTTGCCCCCTCCCCCACATCTGTTGTATGGCATAGTAAAAAATCTATTTGGTCTTCGTCTCTCGTTCTTGGCACAGAGCCAAGGGCTGCTGGGGCCCTTGGGATTTCCTGTGTGATGGGAGAATCTTCTGTTGCTTATGAGCCCCTCTGGACCAGACCCAAGCCCATGCTGATGAGGTAGCTGTTGTGGACTCCCAGATAGCTTCATGATGGAGCAGGGGCAGAGGAACCACCCCAGGACCTGAAAGGTAGGGAGGAGGCTGGCTATATTAACTAATGGCTGATGATCTATCATTGCATAATGAACCCGCCCCCTCCCCCCTGCCCCACTGGGTTTGGGGAGTTTCTGCCTTGGTGAGCACAGCAAGGTCCTGGGAGGCAGGTCGTCAGAGAGGCATGGATGCTGTGCCCTGTGCCCCCACTGCTAGGTGCATGCCCCTCTTTGGCTGTTCCTGAGTTGTGTTCTTCATGATGGATTGACAACAGCATGCAGAGCACCTCCCACCCCCACCCCCACTTCCCAGCTCTGCAGGTCCCTCTAGTGAACCCCTGCACCTGATGGGGACATGAGGGACTAAAGAAAACCATCTCCTTTCTAAATCTGGACGGTGTTCTCAGGCCTCTTCTGCCAGGCTGCTCCTGGGCCTTGTCCTCAAGGCTCACAGCAGGCATCCTGTGAGTCAGTTCAGCTGGGACTCCCACCAGGGCTGGCCCATCACATCCCATTGCCACCATCAGGTGATGCCGATCACCTCCGTCTGCTTTCAGCAGAACTCCTGTTGGGTCTGTTGAGCCAGAACCTCCTTTGCTCCTAATGATTTTTGTACCCACTGGCCTCCGCCCGGCTCCTCCTCTGCACTCCACCTGTCCCTGCTGTAGTCATGCCTGAGCCCGGCTCCACACCGAGGGGCCTTCACCATCCCAGCAGTTCCTGATTAAAATTGGTTTTACCTTTTGAACTACCATCTGCCTCTGGTTTTGCATTGACAGAACCTCCAAATTGACAGTCAGGTGGAAACACGGGCAGCCAGAGTGCCCCTTTTTATTTGCATCTGCAGTGGGGGGTTCCTCAAGACCCAAGA